GAGAGAGGGGGGGGGGAGAAAAGCAAAGAGACAGACAGACAGATAGACAGACAGACAGACAGAAAGACAGACAGACAGACAAAGTGAAGTAGACAGGCAGACAGACAGACAGAGAGAGATGGAAAGGGAGACACGGAAAAATAAATACTTACGGAGCTTGTTTACTCCAGCAACGGCGCAGAAGCGTACACAGAATTAGGAAAAGGACAGATGACGCGATGTAATACTTTGTATTAGGTATCCTTAGTAGATAAACAAGCAAAATATATAACCCTGTACAAAACAGTAGAAGCTCTGAATTTGCAAATTGTGCTATTCTTAGAAGAAAATACTGTAGAAACCAGATGTTCATGTGTAACCTGATTGAAAGTCGGTTTGCATGGTGTTTCCGATTAGCTCAATTTAAGCAGACTCACGCTGCATTCGGTTATAGTGTCACCAAAATGGAACAATGATGTCAGCCCCACTAACACTCATAAAGCATAAACGTTGGAATTAAGGAGTTTAAATGCAGCAAAACAGATATTGATTAAACTGCCATTAGCTACCATTATCCTAGTTCAACGCCAGAAAAGAGTATACATTCAACCGATTTAAGCCAGTGCGGTCTACTTTAAAATGTTATAATACTCCGAAGCAGGGGCGTGGCGTCACTTCTGGAGACGGTGGCGCCTAGAATAATTTTATGCACAACGAATAGAATTGGCTACTTATTACAGACATATAAACGGTAGCCCTACTATATACGCATCTTCATTTAATTTTAATACTGATACAGGGACACCTACTTCCATGCGAGAAGAATCGATAAGTGCCGGTACAATCTTTTATATATGAGATAACTGATTATAAAGAACCAAGTTCGGCGCTCAAGATGCGCACAATCACATAATATCATAATTGTTCACACACAAGACAATAACTTCCCACAGATCAACAGAAAAGCACACATTCACAGTTAAGAACACGCATGCGCCCTCGGGGTGTCTTGACATAATGACCCCATTCCGTGATTCATTTGCAGTTCTGGTTTCTAGCAAGGTTTCTAGACAGCAGACAGTCAAACCTATTTTTAGACCGTTCGCTACCATGCCATGTCCAGGCTAACTACCACTCCATCCTCCCCCTACCATAAAGGCGCCAAATCCATTTTGGCCCTTTGGCCCAACAGTACAATCTCAAAGTGTGATGGGAGTACCTGTTGTAGCATTTTTGGCTGAGTTATGTTCTTGGCGATATCTCTTGTGTCTTCCGTGAAATGTCTGGATGGGGTATGAAATAAACTTTTTTGCTATTCTTAAAAAGAAAACCCTGTTTTCAACTGATTGAATCAAATAGTTTATAGATCATTTTGAATTATTTGGACCAGACTTCACACTTAAACAATGAACACTCTGATGGGTTCAGGCAGAGACACTGGTTCATGTAGTGCCGATCTGGGTTCGGCGCCGTCGGTGACGTCACAGGTAGGGAACGAAAAGGGCGGGGAGACCCTTGCGACCGGCAACGGGAGGCTAGCTGGGCACGTAGATCTAGTGAGTGATAGGCTTTCAGAAAGTCTAGTCCTGGGCTGGGCTGGGCTGACAGACACTGACAATAAAAGGTTAGACATAAACTGGCTTTAAGGATGGCCTCACTCAACTTACTGCCAGGCTACCCGCCCTCCTCCCACTAGCCTAATTATAGACACCTTAACTAAAGACTGGCGTACTTCGGGAAGAACACCCATTAAGAGATTTGTTTGAAAAAAATATTGTGATATTTAGTTAAGTTTTGGAAAATGGTATTCCTTTTTTGAAAATCCCTTCTCTATTTCAAAGGGTGGCGCCATGGCGCCATTTGGGCTTGGAGAGCCACGCCACTGCTCCGAAGGTGCTCCAAGGGAGACTTTCCAGCCACTTGACCAATAAGATTGGATTCTGCTAGAGTGGGAAATGAACATAATTTTTTCGAAAAGCAAGGTCACATTACTTATATGCTAGGCCAAGCAATTGCAGGCATGCATCTATGACTATGATATGTGTGTGTTTAGTAACAGCTTTTAAAAGATATGTGGCCAATCCTGAAAAATAGAAACATCTCAATGAACACCAAAATAAAAGTTCTGAAATGCTATGTTTGGTCAACCCTTCTATATGGCTGTGAATGCTGGACAATCACTAAAGAAAGTGAAAATAAAATAGAAGCAGCAAAATTGTGGTTTCTTAGGAGACTGCTGAGAATATCGTGGAAGGAAAATAAATAAAATGAGGTAGTGCTTGATGAAGCCCACATGGGACGCTCAATGTTAAAAACAATCAGGAAACGACAAATGCAGTTTTTGGAACACATAAATAGACACAAGGGTCTTGAACATGTGGCTCTCACTGGCAAAATTGAGGGCAAGCGAGGCAGGGGTAGGCCCAGGACAACATACTTAGGGAACCTAAACAAATGGGTAACAGGGAAAGATCAGGGAAACGTAGCTTTTTTTAGAGCATCCGAGCAAAGGAATGAATGGAGAATCATGATGGCCGATGTCTGTCACAGATCTGGCATAGGATGATGATGATGATGATAGATGGCCTTTGTTTAGACATAATGAGCAGGAAGCAGTCAACTTTAACATTTTATGAGATAATTGCAAGTCAATCAAGATTTCCTTCCCACTGTTGTTGAAGTAGGCTTCTTTCCAATATCGCAGGTATAGTTTCTGCTGTTGTCTGTTCTCCCGAAGTTCGTGAATATTTCAGAGAATCTGGAAACACGATCCTTCGAATTCGCAGCGAACGATAAAGCGTGCGGCTATTTTTCAATACATCTATACTCTTCAAGAGACGAGCGGGTGGCAGGCAGACGCTGTGGTGGAGTTTGCTACCTCTTTCCTATTAGATATCTATCGTCATTATCGCTCCTCCCTTATTTTCCTTAGTTTTTTACTCTCTAGTTACACCTCTAATGTTCGACACTTATATAACCAAATCGTGTTGTAAGTGACGTAACACTCTCACTTAAACTAAAAATGAAAGGAGAGACGTAGGCCATGCCTTCGCCCCTTTTGTCACTTTCAGTAGTCCTGTGGATGTACCTGAACATACCTCTTGCCTGAAGAGTTCAATATCAAGCTTTGACCGCTTTTACCTTGCTGACCACTGGAGTGCGTCCTTGTGCAATGTTAATCCCAAGGGTCAACGGTCGGGCTCTGCGTTGATCTACCAGGAATAACAACCAATACGTAGCGACATGTACGTTTTAGTATGATCTGTCGGTTGTCTGTGACACAGTGATGGGCTCTGCAGCGTGAATATAAAATGTTATCTCGATTGCAGCGACCATTTACTTGAAATGAACACAGGAAAAGTGTTTGTGCTTCTTTTGCAGGCTACCTTCTTGATTTTCTGAAATCAGAATTGGACACAATCTTACCAGCAGTGATATGGACACAATGTTGGGTAAAGGCCTGGCTTGGCAAGGACTCCTCCTACTTCTACTGATGTACACAGCATCCTGTAACCCCTTTCATTTTCAAACGAAGGGTCGCGGACGGCCTACTATGTCTGGACTCGAACCAGAAGTTTACATGGACGCTGTGAGTATATGCCCTTTTAACAGGAGTCCAGCTTTGATTTTTCTAGTTTAATTATTGGCATAAGCATAGCAAGAGAGGTCAACAGTTTTTTAAAATGTAAATTAGGATAAAGAGTTTGAATAAAACTAAAGGTTTTCCTTAATAAACACGTACTACGACGTCCTCTGTGATTAATTCTAAGATATGTATTATCTTAGGAGCGAGGTTGTAATCTCATGACTAAAGTTAGTCAGTTGTATATAATAACCATAAGGTTCGCAGGCCGTTTGCAGAAATAAAACTATAGAATGCGATGCATCAGTCTATTTCACCGCTACTTGTTAACGCTAGCTTGTCACGTCAAAATATTAAATCAAGAAATCTGCTTTGAGTCGTTTTATAAGCTGGACAGAATAAATGAATCTACTTAACTTGAGTGTGACCTCAATACCATAAAGAATTGGTAGTAAAATGTTCATGAGTCATTTAGGTTGGGTTTTTTTCCATAGACAAAAAACAAAAACGAAAGGTCGTGAAATAATACTACAACTCAACGCTTATTGCATATCACTGCGACCCCTCATGCATAACATTTGTGGAAGGTCGTAACCTTCTCGTAATCAGTCACTGGTGAAAGATGCCGACGCCTGAGGGAAAGGGGAGGGTAGGTGTCCATAAGCTTTAGGAGTCCCATGCGGTATAGGCAAATGCAGTCAAACGTCATTTCTCTGAAGCGAGCCAAATTTGAAATCTGAGATATGTTTGCAATGATTTTCACATTGGTGACACCGAGGAAAAAATATTGCTCAGGGTCTTTTCTCTAGCGAGTTTCGTTTACAGCGGATGTGGTTCGCTTAACGTTTTAGTTGAAAGTATATTGTTATGTCAGCTCTGAACTCAGTCAGTTTCGTTGCCATGATAACCTTTTTATCATAATAATAATAATACTAATAGATAGCATTTGTATAACGCATATCCCCGCTCAACAGCAGGCTCTATGCGCTTTACACTATATTATTACCCCAGCAGACCATAGAACACTCCGAAACATTCTCAGCTTCCCGGGAAGCATATTATCACTGATATTATCATATTACAGTACATGATTTATTACCTCCAACGGACTCTTTATTCTAGTTAGTGTATTAAAAGTAAACGACATATTCTTTTAAAGTTGTTTTAAAGGAAAGGAATTTAGTTGTGTGCGTCCTTCACAGACGTCCTCTTGTTTTCACAGACAGAGCTGATCACAAGCAAAGGTTTCCCTTGCGAGAGTTACTACGTACTCACAGAGGATGGCTATATCCTGAACATACTGAGAATTCCGCATGGAAGGAACAATTCTGATGCACAATCAGGTATGGATGCATGTTTCGAATTTGACAAATCATCGTTAAAACGTGTATAAACAATTAATTAGACTTATCAAAATCGAATTTCTTCTTGAAACATTGTTACAGTTGGAAATCTATTGAGAAATACTAATTTTGCCGATGGCATAACGTTATGACAAAAAATTCGCACTTATAACTTCAACAAGTTCTGTCATACACACACACCTCATAACCCTTTAGGACAAGCACACTCTGTGTCCCGTGGCTATGAGAAAGAGTGTAGCACAATTAAAACACTTCTGTTCTCCCCTTTTTTAGATCACATTTTAATAGCCAACCGCGTACCCCCCCCCCCCCTCTCCCCGTAACATCGAACAAATCTACTAGTATTTTGTCCAGAATGGTGTTTAGCTACGGTCTCTGGTTTAGCTCATGCAAAATAGAATGTTGACAAGAAATATCAGTCGTGTATTCTAGAACGCAAACATGGCATTGGTCCATGTCCACGTTGTATTTTACACATCACCCCAACCAACAAAGGCAGATTGTCTGAGAGAGAATTTCAACACCACGGCTAGTTAAAAGCGGATAGGGCCTGCATTTTAAAAAAACACCAGGGTAATCCGCTCCGAGGTCCAGCATGATATGCCAACTGAGCTATCGGAGCGCCCATACTTTGCTAGAATGGGTATAAATCCTGACTTATAATTTTTCTTGCGGACAGCATTTCATAAGAGTGCCACTTCTACTTTTGAGATATAGGACTGGTCAGAAAAATCCAGCCTCCATTCTATATTTCCGGACAGCGTCCCGACCTGTGGTGGTTCTACAGCACGGTCTCCTGGGAAGCTGCACCAACTTCCTGACCAACCCGGTCAATGAGAGCCTGGCATACCTGCTGGCAGACGCCGGGGCTGACGTCTGGTTGGGCAACAGTCGCGGTAACATCTACTCTACCAACCACACACATCTAAGCCCCAGCACAAGGGAGTTCTGGAACTTTAGGTCTGATCTTTGTGCAGTTTTTGAAAGTATTTATAGGGTAGAAGAGTAGAAACCTCATGAGGATTGAGTGAATCAGGAGATGAGACTTGCCTGTAAGGTGGATGGATGGATGGATGGATGGATGGATGGATGGATGGATGGATGGATGGATGGATGGATGGATGGATGGATGGATGGATGGATGGATGGATGGATAGGTGGGTGGATGGACGTTTTGTCAACAGTATCATGTGTCTTCTAGTTTACCCCCCCCCCCCTTTTCTCTATTTCTCCTTCATATCACCCTTTTTTCCCTCGGTTTCGTCGGGGGAGAGAGATAGAGAGATAGAGAGAGAAACAGAGAGAGAGAGAGAGAGAAAGAGAGAGAGAGAGAGAGAGAGAGAGAGAGAGAGAAACAGAGACAGAGAGAGAGAGAGAGAGAGAGAGAGGAAGAGAGAGAGGGGGGGGGAGAGACAGCGTTAAAGGAAGATGGAGAATGAGTGGGAGAAATAGAGAGTTGGGGAGGAGGGGAGAAGGAAACAGTGAGAAAGCGAATGAAATGGATTTTATTCAAATACTTACTCCTGACATCAAATGTTTTTCAATATTTTTGTAATGATTTTAATCCTTTCTACAGTTGGGACGAAATGGCCACTTTCGACCTCCCAGCCACGATCAACTTCGTCCGGGACAAAAGTGGCGCTGACAAGGTGTATTATGTAGGTCACTCTCAAGGCACAACGATAGCATTCTCGCGGCTCTCTGAAGACCAAGAACTGGCCTCACACATCAAACACTTTATCGCCCTGGCCCCGGTTGCACGCGTTGGGTACGCACCTACTCCACTCAGAAAACTTGCACCTTACGCAGACCAAATAAAAGTAAGTTCTAGCCTAGTACTAAGAATAATTGATCTCATAATGAGGCAAACTAAACCATTATGACTTTTTTAAATCAGAAATACTTTGGAACCTGCTTTAACGGACACTTTAACAAACGACTACTTCTCATTTTCCCCCTTGCTCCTCATAAAAGCACTGTTGAAGATGTCTGTCTGTCTAAGAAAACCCATTTGTCTTCGAAAATACTAAAACAGCAACTAGACATGGGTGACTGGTGCCTCTATAAATACATTATTGATGGTCTGGAATGGGTTGGACGACTTGGACAATTCGACTGTATATGATGTTTTATTTTGTGGTGCGTAGTCATGAAACAGAGTGCTCGATGCTTCGTGTGAGTGATTTTTTTTTCTTTTTTTGGGGGGTGGAGGTGGGGGGGGGGTGTTTGTTTTTGTTGTCTTTTTTTTTAATCTCTTCCTGAAAGAAACAAATTTTTAATGCTTTCAAACCCCAGAGGTAAAAGAAGCAGAAGTATAAAATGAAACACTGTTTCGTGTCCTGTTAAAGTAAAATGTATGGTGTCGGCCACAATGCAGACGACATAATTGAAATGTACTAAAGTTGAAAATTATATGGATCCTCATACTGCTAAGCTTCGGGACTGGTTGAGCATTTTTTGACACGGAGGTCAATGCAGTTGTATTAGGTTGAGTATAGTGAGCAGATTGACTTTAAAATCCTATAGAAAGTGATAGAACAGAATGAATGCAATTGTATTACTAATCTGAATATATAAAGTGTATTTTAAGAAAGGTTTCGGTTTATTAATGTTTTTTAAAGATTAGCTGCCGACCGAATTATTTGTCCTTGGGGAAGCAGAGCTCACAAACCATGGGCACTGCTGTCGGTTGTTCTTTTTCGGTACATCTTTTCTTTTCCTTTTATTATGGGAGGTGGAGGTATGTTGTTACACGTTCTTGGGTAAGAACTTTAAAATTGCTTTGTATTTCTAGACAAATACAATTTTTCGTAGAAGTGATGCTTCTAAATAGAATTGAAATTCAAATCAGATCGAAATTATGATTGATATCCCAAACATAATATGTTCCAACACAGATTCTGTTAGGATCAGGTTTTTATACACCTCCTGGTTTTGTTTGGGAAATAACTTGGGTCGATTGTTTTGTTTTTGTTTGTTTGGGGAGTTTTTTGGGGGGAGGGGGGTTGGGGGTTGTTTGTTTGTTCTTTTTTTTAAATTCGTTTTATTTTGTGGTTTGTTCTGTATTTTTATTACTATTTTTCTCTGTGTGTGTGTGTGTGTGTGTGTGTGTGTGTGTGTGTGTGTGTGTGTGTGTGTGTGTGTGTGTGTGTGTGTGTGTGTGTGTGTGTGTGTGTGTGTGTGTGAGTGTAGCGCGAGGGGGGGGGGATTGCTTATGTCTATGGTGGTATTCATAATTCATATGAAGACAACGTTGAAAAAAAGACAACAGGTTCACTTTTCATTTCCATTGTTGCTTGTTTTGATAATATAATATTGCTTAGCCTGTTTCATTTTGTTCACCGATATTTTCGCATAAAGATCGTAATTACACACTGTTGACACATGTATAATTGTGGGACGGGAAATAGCAACAGTACGTATTTCATATAAACCTGCAAGACGAGCAGAACATCACAATAGTATTTTAGGACTACCTCTATCAGCCCTATAGACTCCATACTATGCATCTTACTACAGAAAAAAGGTTACATGTACTGACTACCTTTATCGGCCCTATAGACTCCACACTATGCATCTTACTATAGTCCGGACAACACTAAATGGACAACTTGTTGACCTCATTACAGAGAAACTGTAAGTGGCGAATTTCCCTGATTTTTTCATGTGCCTTTGAATTCCAAAAAAACTATAAGGTCTCTATTTTCGTGCATATACGACAGACATAAAGAGGTATTTTCTATTTAATCTTTAGTATTTAATTACACTCTACGCGGAGATTTTTTATTAGAACAAGAACTGTAGCAGAGTGTTAGTTTTTATTTTTACTTGTTTTAATCTATATTTTTTTCTTTCTTTAACTGACTGCAGGTGCCGCAAGACTGAGATGTTTTCAGGCCAGCGGTTAATGGGTGACAGTGGGTTTATTTAGATTGGCTAAATGTGATATACAATGAGTAAAACATTTTGCATATCTTCACAATCTTTAAGATCGCATGCGTTTCAATTTGCCGTCACACTTTCAATAACCACCATAGCTCTGCCTATGGACCTGCACGGCGGAGGGGTGGGGGGGGGCAGTGACATACCTAGAGCACCGCTTCAAATTTAGCACTCTGTTGACCCCCAGTTTTGGGTTTTAACCAACCCCCCCCCCCCCGCCCCCCTTGAAATTTCAGGCTAAGTCCCAGCAACGACACCCAGCATTGTTATGGCATTAGCACTTAGCACAGTACCGTATTTGCTATTTTAAAAAAGTGCGCGGTATTGAGTTCTATGAGCAATTAATTACTAGTGATTATATATAGAAAACACATCTTTATATTTGTTGCATGTGCACGAAAATCAAGAATTTTTTGGTCTTTTCAAATTCAGAAACGCATGCAAAAAATCAGAGAGATTCGCCTCTTAGATTCGCTGTAATGAGATCGACAAGTTGTCCATTAATTGGTGTTGTCCGGACTATACAAGAAAAAGATTTCATGTACTGATACGACCTTGGCACGCATTGGAACAAATTGAATACAGAATGAACTAAATTTAATATTATCGGAGACAATTCTAAGAACTCTTGTTGTGAAGATTTATAAGCATTTTAAATGTATTTCTTGCCAGGACAACTTTTTTTTAAACTTTTAAAATCGTTTCATTGTTTGCACTTAAGTGTATGAATTTTAATATATATGTGAACTGTAAAAAAATGACTTTTTCTTAAAAAGGTTTTCCTCGACAAATTCGGCCACGGCGAGTTCATGGTTGAATCACCCGAACTTCGCTACCTGAAGGGAGATCTCTGTCAGAAATGGGGAGCTGTGATTTGTGCGAATTTTTTGTTTCTTGGATGTGGTTTCAACCCGCAATCTATGAATTTGGTGAGTCAAATAATGTTACATACTAGTATGCTACCATTGAACCTGAACACGGGGGGAAATAATTTTTTTATTTTAAAGTTTCCTTTGAATTTCGAACACAAAGCTGCCGTGTTTGATGTTTCAGTTGGAGTAGCAGCGGCAGTAACTGTCCTGGATGCATCAGCAGCATGAGAAAAAACAGGCCGCAGCAAAATAATCCCTTTTCTTACGTAGGATTAGAAGAAACGAAGATAATGAATGTTACTACTGCCGCTGGTACTGCTTAAGGTGTTATTATGAGTAGGCAGACAGACAGACAGACAGACAGACA